ATCCCATACATGCACATCGCACATACACATATGTCATATGTCCCATACATACATATCACACACACACATACGTCATATATCCCATATGTGCATATCGCACACACACACACATTATATATCCCACACGTGCATATCACACATACACATGTTATATATCCCACACGTGCATATCACACATACACATGTTATATATCCCACGCGTGCATATCACACATACACATATGTTATGTATCCCACATGTGCACATCACACATACACATATGTTATATATCCCACACGTGCACAAAGCCAGGCGGGGTCTCCGTGCTGCAGGCCCGAGGCCCGGCCCTTCTTCCCCAGGAAGCCTCAGTGTTGCTCTGAGGTCTCCAGCTGACTGGGTGGGGCCCACCCAATGGAGGGTGACCTGCTTCACTCAGAGTCGCTGATTTAAACGTTAATCACGTCTGAAAAACACCTTCTCAGCAACGCCCAGACTGGAGTTTGACCAACGGCTGGGCACCGTGGCCTGGCCGAGTGGACACGCAGAACTGACCGTCGCAGGGGCACCTGCATGTTCGTTGCATTACTGTATTAAAATTGTCATAAAAAGGTAAAAAGCAAGATATTTATCCACCAGAAGTCGCCACGGTGAAAGTCAAGCCACTAATCAGGAGACGGTATTTATCGCGTGCATAAAGACGCATACGGAGACTTCATCACGGGCAGAGGGAAGACGCAAGTACAGCTGATTTCCACCCAGCCCGTGACACATCAGAACTTCCCCACAAATCAGCGAGAAAAGGGATGTGGCCCAGTGTGACCAGGGGCAAGAGACACAAACAGGCATTTCCCAGAACAGGACACAAAAATAGGGAAGAGAAATCAAAACCGTACTGCAGGAACATCTGACACCCCCGGACGGGTGGGAGATTCACACTGGGGGCCGGGACAGATCCCCGCCAGCGCCGCGCACAGCTGGTGGGAGCCGTAGGTCCCATCCACGGAGGGCACGTTCCGGGCCCCCCAGCGGACGCCTGAAACCATGGGTCGTACTGAACCCTAGAGACATTACTAGTACGTTTTTCGCTATACCTGTGATGATGTCTAATTTATAAACTCGGCACAACAATAATTAACGATAAAATTGAACAATTGTAACGATATACTGTAATAAATGCAAATGTGGTGTCTCTGTCTCAAAATATCTTATTGTGCTCACCTGTTTTCAGACCACGGTTGACTGCAGGTTGCTGAAACCGTGGAGAGCGCCGTCGCGGCTGGGGGGACCACTGTATACAAACCGCGTGAGCGCTTTCGTGCTGTCCAGTGGAGCGGACTGTGTACACACGCAGGGAGTCAGCGATCCCCCTCTAGTTGCAAACCCCAAAGCAGAGTTTCTCAGCCCGTGAGCCGCTGCCCGCTAAGGAGGGTCTCGACGTCGGGTGGTAACGTAATCGCAGCGGAGTTTCAGATGTTCCTAGTTGGAGCAAATCAATACCGGCTTTTGCACCTGCGAGCAACCATTTAGCCAGTGGACACCTGTTTGTGTTGCTGCTGGGCTAAGTCCATCGCAACCCTGAAGGCAGCTTGCTCTCACCTGGGAGGACAGGAGCACGGTCTCACACGGGGATTACATGCACACACTGGCTCTCAGCCATAAGTTAGCCCAAATGGACCTCGGCCACTTCCCCCGCCCACAGAACACTGTGCGGATGGGCCCTGGCAAGGAGGTTGTAGGCTGCTTTCGTAAGAGCCGTGTGTGGCAGAGTGAGAAGTAAAACCCATGAAAACGGAGGCTCCTGCGTCCTCATGCAGCTCCTCTCTGGGGTACGAAGAACTCAGGCACGTCCCTCCGTGGGGAAGGGCCAGTTGCTGCACTTTGGGTCCTCTGTGCACAACACTTCTTAGAGGAAACAAAACGCCCTTGGGTGTGTGCTGCTACCTGTACCCGACAGGTGGCCTGCATTGAGCAGGCGGCAGAGTGAGCAGAAGGCCCAAGGTGCGGGCCTGGCGGTTGTGACCCGGGACTCAATGGTCCTAGTGGCGCCTGAACGAGCAGGGTGCCTGTGGAGCCTGCCGCAGGCCGTGCCGGAGAATCGCAGCGCCCGCTTGAGTCTGGGGGCAGGTGGAGGCTGAGCCCCGCTGCCAGGCAGCAGGTGTGACCCGGGCCGGGCAGGCCAGGTGCTCTCTGTTGCCAGGCGAGTTTGGGTAACTGGACTCTAATAAGGTTCCCAGAGCCCGTGGCAGGCAGGTGGCTCCTCCTGGTGACTCAGCACTGCCTGGCCCAGACACAGCGTAGGAAGGGAGCCGCCGTGGGCCCAAATACATGGACTCAGCCTTACCAAGCCCCCTGTCCCCCACGGCTGGACTCTGACCTGTCATCGTGCAGCTCTGGGCCTCAGCATGGTCCCGTGCTACATGGGGGGCAGTCACGACCTGTCCACGGGCTGACCGGCGCCTTCCTTCGTGGACAGGGAAGTGGTTTTCTCGCTGCCCTCGGCGCTTCTCTGGATTTGCTTCCACTGCTGGAGCCGCTTCTGCCAGCCCCGGCCTTTCCTTAGAGAAGCCTGTCTCCGCCTGACCCGTTTCTGGCCAAGGAACTGACCTTACGGCCAAAGGGATGAGGCACTGGGACGATGCCGTGGGCTCCGCAGGGTGTCCCTTGACCCCAGGGGAAGGGACTCTGGCTCCTCAGGACCACTTAGGATGACGGGGAGACACCATCACCAGAGTGTTGTGTCCTGTAGGACACGGTGCCAGGACCTCATGAATGTACAGCTTCCCCAAACCAGAATGCGCAGGTTGGGCCCATGGGTGGCCGTGACGGCAACACGTCTGCACCTCTCGCCGGTGAGACCTCCACGAAGTTTTGCCTCCTGGCCCCGTAGGTCCTGCTGTCCTGGTCTGGAGATGTTAGTAAGGGCAAGGGGATGCTTGGAGCCGAGGTCAGACACCGGTGTCATCAAGCTGGACGCCGTGGGCGCCACCTGGCCGTCGTGGGCTCCTCCGCCGTCAGGGAGGCCGCGGTGCTGGCCGGAGCAACCCTGAAAGAGGAAATAGGGCGTAGAGCGTTGCGACTCGACGCGGCCCCTCATCCCACTGCGTCTGGTGGCGAGGGTCGGCGGGAGCCCTGGCAACAGGCCCTGCAACGACTCGCGTCCTCGGAAACCCAGAGAAATGGCCCGAGCAGGTGTGCACACGAGCTGGCCTCACGACCCGCCACGGACGTGAGCGTCCCGTGCCTTTTGCTGAAATTTCTTCTCTTGTGTGGTGTACGAACTTGAACAGGAGTTAACCAGCCTTCCTCCCTGCACGCTCCCTGCTCCCTTTGACACCTGTCTCACGGGCTGCAGGACAGGGAGGTCCCCGAGGGGGAACGCCCACAGCCGGAGACCCCGGAACCCACGAGGCTTTGGGGACAAGGCCTGTCATTTGCACTTGTCGGGGGGACACCCTTGATTTTGGAAGCGTGTGTGGGAAGGAGTGTGTCATTGGAAAGACGGGGGACGGTGTGCCGGGCTGTCATAAGACAGTCCTGATTTGGGGGAACCCCCTGTGGTCCTGGTAGGGGGCAGGGCCGCACCGCCCGCTGTGGGAGTTCAAAGGGCCCCGACACCCCCTGGCTTCCGCCAGCTACACTGAGGCCGCGGCCTAGGCTGGGCCAACTTGGTTCCACCCAGGACTTAGGATTTTGAGCGAATCATGCAAACATTTAGGGACAGTTAGAGCAAATTCGCCGTAAGGAGGCTTGAATGTCCCGTGAGAGTGGCTGCGGCAGGAAGCCACTAAAATGCTGCCCCTCTCCCCGCGCATGTCCTGCCCTAATCCCTGGATCACGGTAAACATGGCAAGATTCCTCCTTCAGAAACCCTGACCCAGGCTGCCGCGCAGACGGACCTTGAGGACGCCATGCTGAGCGCGGAGCCGGCCACAGAAGGACACACACCGTGTGACGCCACTCACAGGAGGGCCCAGAGCCGTCAAACCCACAGAGGCAGAGAGTGGATGGGGGCGGGGGGCTGGGACGGGGGAGGGGAGTTAGTGTTTCACGGGGACAGGGCTTCGGTTTGGGACGATGGAAAGTTCTGGAGATGGGTGGTGGTGACGCTGCGCGACAACGGGAATGTGCCCTATGCCACTGAACCGCGCACTGAAGAATGGCAAAGACAGTAAGTTTTATGTTATGTGTATTTTACCACAATTAAAAAAACACTGCTCCAGGCAGGGAGCTCGTGGGGGCCTAATCCGATCACAGGCGCCCGCTGGGGAAGACGTCAGCAGCACTCGGGGCGCGGGGGGCCCCAGTCCGGCCGCCACGGGCGGCGGGTGAGCCTGGAAGCCCGGACGGCGGCACAGCCCACCCGCTGGACTCGGGGAACTGCGAGCCCACCAGCGAGGGTGCCTGGGAGCCGCCAAGCCCGTGACTGCAGCATGCAGAGCACGGGCCATGCCTGCGGTGGGGGTCCCGGGGCCTCCCCATTTGTTCTCGCTGCCTCCCGGCCCTCCCACGGGTTCCTTCCGGCCATCCCTCTGGCTGGGCCCCCCAACCCCACTGCGATGTGGGGAGACAGCCTGGGTCCTCCCCTACGGATCACGGCAGGCCGAGGGCGGGCGGTGGCAGGACAGGGGCGGGAGCGGCGAGTCCGCTGTCCAGGAGCCGCCGCGGGGCTCTGAGTCACCAACAGCATCTGCTCCAGAGGGGGCTCGCGGCGCGGGTCCGTCCCGGCAATGTCTGAAGACGCCAGGCTCCTGGGGCTGGCAGCCACACGCTCTGAGGAGGAGAGGGGAGCACAAGGCTGTTCTGGAATGTTCTCGAGGGCCCAGGAGGCTGTTGTAGAATGCAGAGGGTCCAGGCAGGATGCCCGGGCAGGGAGGGGCCCAGATGGCCGGGGCAGAGCGAGCGGTGGGGTGACTGGAGGGGGCAGGCAGGGGCGGCCCGGGCGGTGTGGGGGCTTCCTGGCCACCGGTCTGGGTCCTTCCTGCGCCCTGTGCCGGGTGAGCCTTGGGGTCCCCAAGGTTGGGGGGGGCCAGAAGCACCCACCCCTCCTTGTCAGTGTCAGTGGAGGTACATTTGTGAGACCAGGTCTTGGCGGGGGGTGGGGGTGTGGTGTGGGCCGTAGAGTGGGGGGCATGCTGGTCTGGAAGCTTCCCAGCTGCACCCCCTGGCCAGCCACCCCCACAGTGCTTCCTCTAGAGCACCAGCCTGGCAGACGCTCCCGGGGGCTGGGCCCCTGGGCAGAGGGTGGGGCGGGCAGGGGCCTACCTTGCGGCCAGGGAGTATTTGCCTTTGCGGTCCAAGCTGCGGCCGGAGCGGATGGCGAACCAGAGGAAGGCGCTGAGCAGCAAGGCGCACCCCTGGGGGGCGGGAGGAAGGCGCTGAGTGGCAAGGCGCACCCCTGCTGGGGCCGGGTCGCAGGAGGCACCAGCAGCTGCACCGGCTGCTCGGGGAGGGGCTCCCCACCCCCTGAGGTGTCTGGGTGTCTGCAGGCTGCAGGAGGCAGGCAGGGGCACACCCAGGCCACCTCCCTGGGCACTGGGGACCAGCCACGCCCAGGGCTGGGGCTCCCACGGGGTGAGGGAAGGGGTGAGGCGTACCGTGAGGGCCAGGCCGATGCCGCTCAGGGTGGAGAGGACACTCTGGTAAGGCCTCAGGTGGCTCCGGATGCCCTGCAGGCAGTCCTGGGAGGGGGCGGCAGGCATGGCACCTGCCCTGACCAGCCACCCCTGCTCGGGCCAGCAGGGCCAATGCCAGGGCATGGGAAGAGGGGTGTAGCACATTCCCAGGGGAACCCCCTAGGGCTCTGGGGAAAAGGCAACACCAAGTGGATGAGACTGGCCTCTGTGGGTCCCAGGGGGCTACTGCCCCCACCCGCTGCCCTGAGCTCTGGTGTTGGGTGTTGGGCCGCATGTCTGGCTCCCCGGTGAGGGGGTCGGACTCATTCTGGTCCCAGCACCCAGCCCAGGGCCGGGAGGCACCTCTGGGACCAGAGGGTGCTGGCTGGCAGGGAGAGCAGGCGGAAGGGTGGGGGCCCCCACACTGTCCCAGGTCCTGGCTCCATCCTGGGCTTCCAATGCTACCCCAGGGCACGCATCTGCCGGGGAGGTGACGCCGTCTCTGAACCACCCAGACGCTGACATTTAGTCTGGGGCAGGACTCCGGCATTTGGGGCAGTGTTTCCGGGACAGACCACGTCAGGGCACGATGGTCTCCCCATCCGCCCCTCCAGGGCAGGCCTTCCTCCTGCCCGGCCACCCCACCCAGGCAGTCCTCAGCCTGTGCCTGCCCCTGTGTGTCCCTGCCATCCCCCGGCACCCGCGCTCCTGTTTGCAGTAGGGGACCTGGAGACCCTCCTTGAGTGGAGCAGGGTCCCTAACTCTCAGCCCCGCCCCGGCGCTGCTGGGCCCTGCTTTGTTGTCCTGTCCCTGGCGGACTCACCCTGCACCGCCCCTCCCCTCGCGGACCCGAGCCGCCCCATCCTCCTCCGGCTGTTCCTTGGAGGGCTGCCAGGCCCTCCTGCCAGGACAGGGGGTGGGTTTGTTTCCAGGACGGCCAGCCGGGGAGGGGCGGAGTGGGCGGGGGCAGGGCAGCCAGGGGAGGCGGGGGCCCAGGCCCCTCCAGGCCTCAGGGAGGAAGGGCTTCCCTGCCTCTGGTCCCACCCCAGCTCATCGCTGAAGCCTGCAGCCATACCCCGCCCTGGCTGGCCCTCCAGCCTCAATTCTCCTCCAAGCAGACCTTCCAGCTGCCTCTGGGGCCCCTCAGGTGCCTGCTCCCCCTGCCCCGACCACCCTTGCTCTGTGGGCGCTTGGCACTGAGACCTAATCTGTGTGCTTCTAGAGGCTTCCGTGGGCCAGGTCTCAACTGGCCTTGGGCAGCCCCCGCCGGAAGTGGGTGAAGCAGGGAGTGGAGCCTGGGGCCCGCCCGCGTCCAGCCCGGGGAAGGGCCTGGCCTGCCGAGCCCAGCCTGGCTGCCCTACGGGCTCCGTGCATGGCGAAGACTTCACTGTTACCCCATCACACCGGAACCTTCCCTGAGCCCTTCAGCGGGCAGGTCCCGAAGGTCCAGGGGAGGATGTCCCTGAGTTGGGATGGGGCTGCAGAGTGTCCGCCCCCAGGGACTTGCCCGCCAGCGTCCAGGTCCCGCCCCTCCTCACCTCTCTTGCGGCCTCCTCTCCCTGACACAGGCCGGCCTCCGCGCGCCCCAGACGGCTGAAAGGCGATCTCTTCCCACAGCACAGGAACTGCCAGAGCAGACAGGAGGGAGCCGAGATTCGCTCTGGCAACCCCAGGAGACGGGCGGGACCGATGGGGAAACTGAGGAGCCATAAGGACTAATGGCCTAGGTGGAGGCCAGGCCTGGGGCTTGGGTGTGGCCACTGCCTCTGCAGGGGGCACCAGCCACTGGGCAGCAGGGCCGATAGCCCACTCACGGCGGGCGCCTGCCGGCCCCGGGGCTCAGCCGGCTCCCGGGGACCGCGCGGTGCCGGCCCGCTGGGAAGGGCCTGTGCTTGCTTCAATGCTCAGCCGCCCATGTAGAAATCCTTCCGCGTTTCTGAAAGAGGGGCCCTGCCTTCTCACTTTGCACTGGGCCCCAGCGACCCGTAGCTGGCCCTGCTGGGGCAGAGGGAGAGGGACGGCGCTCTCTGACCCCTGTCCCGAGGGGCAGCGTGGCCTGTGTCCTGAGATGCTCCTCGGGCCGGGCTGGGCCAGGCCCCTCACTCCAGGGCTGCCCCGTGCCCATTCTCCGGATCCCGATCCCGTCCACGCAGCGAGGCTGACCCGCGAGGGGAAGGCTGGACCGCACGCTCACCGCGTCCTGGATGGCCGCTAGCTCCTGCTGCCGGACGGGGGACGCGGTCTTCACCACCTGGTCATACACCAGGTCGTAGGTGTCCAGCGCGGCGTCCTCCACCTGCACCAAGAGCAGCACGGGGGCTCGGCTCTGGTGGGAGGCCCAGTGCCAAGCGTGTCCCCGTGTCCCCGCACCAGGCGGAGCCCCCGAGCGCGGAGCCCTGGCTCCTGGCAGCCAGCTGCACCCCGGGCCGCAGTTGTGGGGCCTCCCCCAGCATAGCGGGCAGTGTGGCCCCTGCTGCCCCAGGACCTCCCACGGGGTGAAGCGGAGACTCAGCTCCGCTGTCGCCCGCTGTGGTCTTGTGGGTGTGGAGGGGGCGCCCTGCTGCTGTCTACCCAGAAATGGGTGATGGGGCTGGGCCTGGGCCAGGACTTCAGCTCCCCCAAAGCCGGGGGGTTCTAGGTTTTTCCCCAGAGGAACCAGCTGCATCCCCAAAAGCCCAGGCAGCTGGGCTCTGGGTAACGCCTTCGACCAGGGGCACCTTGGGCAACTGGGTCAGATCTAGGCGGATGGAGCCACTTGGGGGCAGGAGATGGAGAGGAGGATGGTGACAGGGGCCCGCCACCCTCTACCTTTGCTCCACAGCCCAGCCTCACCGGGACCGCATGTCTCTGCCCCCAACCACCCTGCTGTGCTACCCCCCCCAAATGCCCGCCCCATGCCTAGTTACTCCTTCAGAGACACACTGGACTCTCACCTCCTCCAGGGAGGCTTCCCTGACTGCCCAGGAGTTGCTGGTCTCCTGGCACAGGGTGAGGCCCTCTTTGAGCTCCCTCTGGCGCCTCCCTCCCGCCCCCAAACCCTGCAGACAGCCGGGATACCCTGAGGGGCCATCCCAAAGGGCTGCATGGGGGAGCCATGCCTGCTCTGGCCACTCACACCTGCCCTCCAGAGAGGGGCAGTGGAGGCTCCAGCCGTCTCCATCCCAGCCCGGATGTCCCGACAAGTCGGATGGGCTTCCTGTGCCAAGCGTGGCTCCTGCACTAATGAATCCCTCCCTACTGGTGGCTAATAAAGTCGGACATCTCTCCGTGAGTCAGCGCCAGCCCAGCCAGCCTCTGTGCTCCCTGCCCGATGGGAAGCGGGCAGCGCCGGGGGGGCCGGCGCCAAGCGGGCCACGCCACCGTCAGGCCAGGGCCGGGCCTCGCAGCTCAGCTTCCTTGAGGCCTGGCGCGTGTCTTCACAGGGGGTCCTGGGGAAGCTGGGGGCCTAGAGAAGCCGGCCCAGGGCTGGCATGGGACCCCCACCCCTCCCCAACCGCTGCCACGGCCCAGGGAGGAGCGAGGCCTCCAGGGTTTGGGGCAAGTTGTCCTGGTCTCCGCAGCCTCGGCAGGAGTGGCGCCCTGCTAGCGACAGAGGGGCCGGCCCTGCCTGGCTCCCCGCGGCCAGGCACGTCTCCTGCCCCAAACTCCACAGCCTGGCCTGGGGGTCCTGGGGGGCAGGCCTGCAGGTGATGCTTCATCTCTGCCTGTTTCTGGGTTTGGGGTCTATGGGAGGCTGAGGCGAGTTTCTCCCGAGGACGGCAGGACGCGGGGGCTCCCTGTTAGGCACCGAGGCTCTGAGCTTCATCTTCCGGTGTCCCGGGGGTGCCCAGGGCTCATCCCCAAGGCCGGGTCATCCCTGGGTGGCTGCCGGGGCTTGGGGACTCCTGTGCTCCGCGCGGCACAGCCGGGCCCCGGGGGGCCCTGTGGGGAGCTGGTCTGAGCCCGCACCATGGTGGAGGCTCCGGGCCGTGTCTGACGCCTCTCTCCACACGCTGTGCTGAATCCGAGCATGAATTATTCAGCAGCCAGCCGGGCAATCCGTCTTCCGGATGCTGCCGTGTCTGGGGACGGAGAGGTGCGGCAGAGTGGCTCTCGGGCCGCAGGGAGAGTGTAATTAATAGCCCTCAAACTCTGCGTTCATTGCAGCCCGGGCCTCCCGCCCTCCGTGCTCCTAAGTGGCAGCTGGAAAATCTCCTGAGCGGGGCTCCCTGGGGGCGGGGGAACCCCAGTCCTGCCCAGGCTGGGGTCTGTGGCCTCAGGGGTCGGGGGACAGCCTTCCCTTCCCCACCAGCCTCAGCCCCGTACGGCCGCCCTGGTGAGTGGTCAGGATCTCTCAGGGGGCCTCTCAGGGGAGGTGCGGAGGGAAACTGGGGCCCCCAGGCACCCCAGCTTCAGCACAGGCGCTCTGGCCCTGTGGCCTCTCTCGAGGGGCCGCTGCCGGACCCCGTTGCGCTGGGAGCGCGAGGCTGGAGCCGGCCTGGCTCTGGGGGCCCTGACCACAGGGCACGAGGGGATGAGCAGCCCCCCACACCCCGGAGCACACGCTCTCATCCAACTCGCGACGGCTCCAGACTAGTCCCACCTCACGGCGCCGACCTGGGGCGGGGGCTCTGGCGGGTCTGAGGAAGCCTCCCCCGCACTGGCTCCGTCCCACCCTGCAGCCCCCCAGGCAGGGATCTCGGGGCCTCTCTCACAGACGAGGAAACTGAGGCCCAGGGAGGCCGAGGGACTTGCCCAAGGGAGCCCCAGAGAGGACCCCCGACTTCGAATCCAAGGCTGCTCTGCCCAGGCCTGGACGCGCACACGTGTCACGCCAGAAGTCAGGACCTACCGAGGGGCCCGTGGAAGCCCCGGTGCCCCACCTGGGTCAGGCAGGGCCTAGGAACTGACCCTCGAAGGCCTGCGGGAGAGCTGGGCCGACGAGGACGCTGTGAGGGTGTGGGGGCTGGCACGGGGCCAGGGAGGGGGCCTGGCGGGGGTCCTGCTGCTCAGCCCCTTCCCTTCCCAGAGAGCAGCCCCAGCTGGGCTCCGTCCTGGGGCCCCTGGTGGCCCCCTCCCTCCAGAACCGCGAGTCCTGGGCCCAGAGCGAACACAGGGAGTATTGGGGAGCGGGGAGAGGCCAGCCCCGGGGTACCCTGGCCGCTGTCTTCACCTCGGCCACCCAGACCTCAAATGTGCCAGACCACCCCGCGTGGACAGAACACGTGAGGCCCAAACGCTGACCTGGCCGGCTTGCCCCCCTGGAGACCGCTGGGCCACCCCTCAAAGCCACAGCCATCTTGCAGGGGCCTGGATCCCTCCAAGATCCTGCACAGGAAATGGTCTTTGTCCCGTCTGGTCTAGGTGGGTGACCCCAAGCGAGGCTGGGGTGGGTGGGCCCTTTGGGACAGGCCTCGGGCAGGGAAGGGAGAAGAGGCGGTGGCTCCGGGCACAGTGCGGGTCACCCCGGGAGCTGCTGCCCCTCTCCCACCACCCAGCCCTCTGGCCTCTCTGCAGCCCCGGCACCCCCGCACCCAGGCAGAGACCCCCACGTGCAAGAAGAGACCCCACACCCAGGCAGAGACTCCCACACCCAGGCAGAGACCCCCACACCCAGGCAGAGACCCCATGCCCAGGCAGAGACCCCATGCCCAGGCAGAGACCCCCACACTCAGTCAGAGACCCCCATGCCCAGGCAGAGATCCCATGCCCAGGCAGAGACCCCATGCCCAGGCAGCGACCCCCACATGCAGGCAGAGACCCCCACGCCCAAGCAGAGACCCCATGCCCAGGCAGAGACCCCATGCCCAGGCAGAGACCCCTGTGCCCAGGCACAGAGACCCCCATACTCAGAGACCCCATGCCCAGGCAGAGACCCCTGTGCCCAGGCAGCGACCCCCACATGCAGGCAGAGACCCCCACGCCCAAGCAGAGACCCCATGCCCAGGCAGAGACCCCCACACTCAGAGACCCCCACGCCCAAGCAGAGACCCCATGCCCAGGCAGAGACCCCTGTGCCCAGGCAGAGATTCCCACGCCCAGCAGAGACCCCCACAAGCAGGCAGAGACCCCCAGGCCCAGGCAGAGACTGCCCCACATGGTGGCCGGCCCCCCACCGTTGCCCCGAGCATGGACCCCAGGGGCTGCCCTGTGCCCACCCCCCTGCATGGGGACCCCCAGTGCAGGATGGGGACAGCTGGCGCTCACCTGGGTGGGGTTGCGGGATCCCCAGAAGGCCACCTGCACCAGGACGCAGAAGCCCAGGGCGAAGCTCAGGAAGGCCTGCGGCAGAGGGCGGCGGGTCACTGCGTGTGGCAGCACCGCACCCCTGCCAGGGAGGGCAGTCACCCTGGGGGACGGAGCCCCCACCCTCTGGGCTGCTTCCAGCAGAGACACTGGCCCAGGGAGCACCAGGCAGGGCCTCCCCTGCGCCTAAAATCCTTCTGGGAGAAGAAACTCCCGCGTCTGTGAGGCGGGGACACAAAGGTTGCTCGGTTTGGTTTAATTCTCTGAAAGCCCTCAGAGCTGACCCCTACCTGGGAGCAGGTGGAGCCAGCGTGACTCCCCTCGCTGTCAGCTGTCCCCTTTCCCTCCGCACCCCTGCCGGGGCCCCTCGCTCCTGCCGACAGCCTGTGCCCAGCGTTGGGGTCAGGAATTCTCCGGCGGGAACGCTGTTCCAGCACGCCCCACACTCTGCCCGTGCTCCCAAGCAGGGCTCCCGCGCTCCCGAGACCCCCTTGCAGAGGCTCATGAACATTATGCACGTGTCCCCCAACACCCGTTTGTGGACCGTCTCAGAGGGTCACCCCAGACTAAGGGTCCTGGGGCCATCCCCCTGCCATAGTTTCATCTGCCACCGCGTGCTGGGGACCCGAGGATCTGGGTCTCTGCTGAGTCTCCTCCTAGAGCCCCGGGAGGTCAGTCGGCCACGGGCCACGCACCTCACCGCCGGCCCTGTCCCCGCCACGAGCTCCCTGACGGCTGTAGCTCCAGGCGTGTCACTCTATGTGGCTGACACCTGTCCCCTCGGACTGTCCACAGACTAGGACGGTTTGTGACCAGGCTCTCCCAACCCAGGGACCTCATTCAGGGTGACACCCAGGAGAACAGATGACTGACAGGGTACAGAGTACAGGGAGATGCCCGTGGAGGCAGAGGGGCCCACAGACGCTGGCCGGGACAGTCTGGGACCAAGAAACAGTCCTCGCTGGGGGAAGCTGAGCAAGAGGCATGTGGGGAGAGCCAGCGCCACCCCCACCAGCCCCCAGCACGGCGCAGGCCCCAGGGCCAGCCCTGCAGGGGCATCTCCCCTGTCCCCACCCACCTGCCCGGAGGCTGCAGGGCCTATTTGGGGGACACCTGGGGGCTGCCTCCTCCTCCCTCTGCCTCCTCCTCTTCCCCCTTCCTCTCCTCCCTCTCCTCTCCCCTCTCCTTCTCCTCTCCTTCCTCCTCCTTCCCGTCCCCCCTCCCCCTCTCCTTCTTCCTCCCCCCCCTCCTCCTCCTCGCCCTCCTCACTGGCCTGGCCAGGGCCGCCTTCCCCATCTGGAAGCTATCACTCAGCACTGCCTCCCAGGCTGGAGGCCCTAAGCCAGCTCTGGAGACCAGCATTTTCCAGAAACCATTTCATTCCTTAGGAGAAAGAGAAGCATCACTGCCTGCCCCCCCCACCTCGCCCTGCCGAGGGTCCCGGGTGGGGGATGGGCCTCCCCAAGGCCTCCACTGTCTACACGGAAAGAAGTAAACAGACGCACAAACAAATGAACGGCGAGCTCGGCTCTCCCAGCCCAGCCAGCTCCTCGTTTCCTGTGCGAGAGGCCGGCTGGGGAGAGGCCAAGGAAGGGGGAAGGGGGCAGGAAGGGGCGGCAAGGGGGGCAGCGGGCACTGGCATGTGGGAGAAAGTCTTTCCACCCCCTGCTCCCCACCGGCCCTCCGTGTGCACGCCGCAGACACACAGGGACAGGCCAGGCCAACAGGCACGCCACGCCAGCACGGCCACAGGGGCAGGTGAGACAAGCCACAGGGACACTCGCACACGCACACACACACACACACATGCACACCCGCACACATCTGTGCAGGCAGCTCATCTGGGGCGGGGTCTCCAGGCGCCCCACGGTGGCCGCGCTGGGCTCACCCTTTGGCCGGGGGAGGGCAGAGGGGTGTGCCGAGCCCAGCCAACTGCGACTGGAGTGCCCCGGGACCCCAGCCCTGCAGGGCTGTTCTAGAAGCCCAACCTGTGTGACGGTCACCTGGCCCTGAGGCTGGCGGGGACACAGAATCAGACCTGCCTGGGCCACAGATCAGGGCGCTGAGACAGAGGGACGGCAGCCGGGCCCAGCGCCATTGCCCGCTGTTCCCTGCGCGGCCCCAAGCCCGGCACCACGGCGGCCCCTGGTGGCCGATACTGCAGCCCCGGCGCGGTTCTCTCCAGGCTGCCTGGGGCCCTTGGCCTGGCCCTGCTGCCTCCTGGTCTTCTGTCCGGGTGTCCCTTCGCAGGCCACACTACACGCCTTCTGGGGGATAGGGGGAGGCCACCTGCCCTCTCCTCTCCCCACTGGGGCCTCCTACCAAGCCCTAAAGCCACAAAACACAGGGTTTCCGTGCCCACCCAGGCCGGCACGTCCCGCCCGCGCCCCTTCTCTCCCCGGAGCGGGAGCCCGGTTAGCACTGGAGCTGCCAGATCTTCTCTGCTCCCCCCTGGGCCCACGAGGGCCGGCTGGCTTCAGCAGCAGCCCCAGGAGGTGACTCTGTCCCTACCCTTGGAGATATTTACAAACCAGGAGTCATTCAACAGTATTTGCGAATTCCCAGGTGGGCTGAGAACCCTGCCAGTCCTGGGGACCCAGGAGGCTCTGCCCTTGAGGGTCCCCAGAGTGGTCTGGCCTCCTGGCCACCAAGGAAGCAAAGCCCCCAGCACAAGCTCCCAAGGGCCTTTAACCCCGTGCACCGTGCATGGGGCTGGGGTGGGGAGGAGGCATGCAGGGGGTGCAGGGACATACAGGGGGTGCAAGGACATGCAGGGGGTGCAGGGACAAGCAGGGGATGATGCATGTGGTACAGGGGACATACAGGGGGTGCAGGGACATACAGGGGGTACGGGGACAAGCAGGGAGTACCGGGGCAAGGTCTCCAGGAGCGGAGGGTTGGAGGCCGGAGAGAGGTGACCCCATGGCTGCAATGGAGGGTGGGAGGCTGGGGGGTCAGCAGGGAGCACAGCCATCGAGGGCTGGCCGAAACCATGACGGGAGCCCAGGTGGAAGAGCAGGTCTGTGGGCCGCAAGGGCCACGTCCATGGGGCTGAGGTCGAGGAGCCTGTGGGACGTGGGGGTGGGGAGGCCCCAGGAGCTGGGGAGGCGGGTGTGGCGCTCAGGAGGGAGCCAGGCTGGTACGCGGCAAAAGGGGCTTCCCTTGCCTGGCCTGGCGTCCTAACAGAAGCAGGTTCACCCAAACCCCATGCCAGCCCCTCCCAGGGCGGGGAGGGCCAGCCCTCCCTTTGAGGGATCCCACAGTAACCGTTGTTGGGTGTTGGATGATGGGGTGAGGTGGGGCCTGGTGGGTGGGCCAGGCTGGCCAGGGGGAGGGGCCAGGCTGGCCCACATCCTTGGGCCTATGTTTCTGTCTGGACACTTCAGGGGTGGGGTCTGCAGGCTCCTGGGGTCACAGCCCTGCCAGCTCTTGGACCTTTTCTGGGGGCTGGGGGCACAGAGGACTTACCCCGGCCATGAGGCCCTGGGCCTCCCGCACGGTGGCTGCGGCGCTCAGCACGGCCCCCAGGCTCAGAAGGCCTGCCAGGCTCATGCCTGCGTAGAAGGCTGGCAGGAGGGAGGGGAGGGGCGTTAGGGGCACCAGGACAGGCCCGGGCACCAGGACAGGCCCGGCCACCAGGCCTGGGTCTGAAATGCCACATGGGCGTCACGGGCGGTGCCGGACTTCTGGGGAGGCTCCGGGCCACGTGTCCATCAGACACAGGGGGCCCCCACCTCCTTCCTGTGCTGCTCAGAGGGAGGCGGCCACCCCTCCCCTACTGCCCGCCCTGCCCTCCCCGCTCCCGGGGCTATCTTGGAAGCCACAGGCCCCCATTCTCTAGTGACAAGTGGCCTCTGGGCTGTAATCTTATCAGTCCAGACTGGCCCTGGGACTGGGAAAGGCAGTGGGTTACAAGGCAGCAGGGCCCCTGGGGCTGGGTCTGCCTGACCTGACCCTCGGGCAGCTTCCCCACACCCGCCCCCGGGCTGCCGCCCCCCAGACCCCCTGAGCTCCTGCCTGAGGCCCCTGCACGGCCGGCTGACTCCGCCATCCCCTCCTAAACGAGGCCTCCTTGCTCCTGCCCAGCGGCCGCAGCAGGCCCTGGCCCTCCCCGCATCCTCCGCCCTCTCTGAGCCTCAGCAGCCCAGGTGCTCGGTGGGGAGTCGGCCCTTTCCATAGACCTGCCAGCTTGGCCCCAGGCCCTGGCCTCAGACCAAGGACACACCCTCCCTGTGCCCACGCCCCTGTCCAGGGCAGCCCGTCCCTGTCCCGACCACCCGCCGGTTCCTGCCCAAGGCCTGGCTGCGCTCCAGGGCCCTCCCCAGCCACCTCGACCAGGCAGGACCTCACCTACCCCAGCAGTGCACGATCTCGTACGGGTTCCTCTCCAAGGACGCGCGGCTGATGACAGCAAAGTGGGCCCCAAAGTAGGTGAGAGCCGCCACGGTGGCCGTACAGAGGCCCAGCAGCTGCGGACGGGGCAGACTCAGGGGCACAGGCTGGACGCAGGGGAGGGAGGCCGAGGCCCAAGAGGGCAGGGTCTGGGGCTCCTGGGTCCCCCAGCCGGGCTCCCTCCAGCTTCCTGGTCTCTTATGGGGCAGGCTCCGCTGCAGGGGGTTCTGGGTGTTTCTGGGGTGGTCTCAGGGAGGCCTCCACCCCAGACACCCCACCACATGCGCACACATGAGCACAGACACGTGGAAAAGAGGCGCTCACACACTCACTGCCCTTCTGCTTACAGGTTGAGGAGTGGGCCCTCCCCGGCCTGTGAGAGCACCCCCCGGACAGGAAGCGGGGAGCCCTGGAGCCCCACAGGCAGCGCCCTCCACCCCGTTCACCAGCCACCGAGCCCTGGACTAACTCAGGCCTCCTCCAGGCCCTGCGCTGCCCTCGGGAGGACAGACGCTGCCCACAGGGGCGTCCTGTGCAAATGGCCACAGCCTGCACTGTCTGCCACCAGGGACCCCCGGCACATGTCTGCGGGGGCAGGACGGGGACAGTGGGGCTGGTGTGTGGGTGTGGGGGGCATAACCACAGTGCTGGTAGCCTGGAGACGTCCCCCCCCCAGCCCTCGCCCCTACCCACCCACACCCCCCACCCCTCCTGCCCGACCCACTTGTTACCAAGACAAAGAAGCTGGTGACCAGCATCTGGCACTTGGCAGCCCTGACTCGACTCCGAGGCCCCATGGTGGCCCCTCTCCCCTCCTCTCCCCTGCTGCTGTGGTTTCCAGCTGGGCAGGGGCCTCAGACCTCAGCTGCCCGCCCAGGAGGCTGCATCCGCCCTGGGTCTCTGCGTCAACATGCCCCTGGAACTGAGCCTCCGTGCCCCGGAAGAAGGGCAGGCAGGAAGGGGAGGGGTGGTGAGGCCAGCTCCCACCACCCCTGCCGCCCCAGCCCGGCCCAAGACACCAGGGCATTTGCTGACATCTGAAGCCTCTCCCAGGAGGGCCTTGTTCCTGGTGTGGCCACAGAGCACGGCACTGGGAGCAGACCGGGCAGGGCCAGGGGTGGGTGTGTGGGAGGGCACAGCACCTGGGCAGGGGGTGAGCTCCCCGTCGTGGGGGTGTGTAAGTGGGGACTGGGCCCCAGAGAGTCCTGCCTGGGGGTGTAATCCTGGAGGCATCTGGGAAATGGAGTCTAATCCAAATATCATTTTGAGGTGTTCTTATGAAATACCTTCTGAAATGTTCCATGACAAGTAAATTTTTGAAAAGGTAATTCGATTTTTAATGCCTCAACAGCACAAATGGGTAATTTGGAGCAGAGCCGTCTTGGGCTGGAATTGCTCCCTCTTCATCTTATAATGCGGGGTCCTCCTGGAACGGGGGAGCCTCCGTGGGGAGGAGGAGGCCCCTGAGGCCATGGCAACCCCTTGGCCTTCTAGAAGCCAGGGGAAAGCCCGCCTCTGGAGGGATTGCTCAGGCCACTCCTCCCTCCCCTGCCGTGCAGAGGGGCAGCCGGGATCCTGCGTCCGCCCCCCACCTTCAAGCAGCCCCGCTGCAGCTCTGGCCCCAGGAGTTCCCGCCTTGAGTCTGCGGGTGCTGGTGGTGTCACGTCAGGTGGAGGACCTGGGCCCAGCCCAGGTGTGGCCCAGGCAGGGCCCAGGTGTGAACTGGGGCAGCAACAGCGAAAGTCGGGTCTCTGGCTCATCGGGCCTGGGGCGTGTGGGCGCAGCTGGGCCTCTCCGGGCAGGCGAGAGCTCCCGTGTCTGGCACGGCCTGGGAACTGCCCTTCTCCAGCCTTGGGACAAGGGCAGCACCAGCAGCCGTCGGGGGCTGGTGAGGGGCCTCCGGAGCACCCCCCTGGCATCTTGGCTGGCGCCTGCTGGGCACTTGTCCTGCACCAGCCCTTCGGACGGTGGCCTCACTTGTCATTGCAAAGTGGCACCAGCCCTCCAGACACCAGGCTGACCACATCCCTCTCTCCGGGTGCCCGCGGCGGGGCAGGGCGCCTGGCGTAGCTGGGGCGCATCCGCTGCGGCCCTGTGGACTCCACCCCTTTCCTGCAAGAGGAAGGGCTCGTTGCGGAGGAGACGCTGCGCCCTCACTGCCCACCTGCTCCGGCCTCCCGGCGGCTGCCCATCGCTCCGGTCGGCAGCGCTGGCCGAGGGAGCCAGGAAAGCGCCTGAAGCAGCAGGGTCAGGCCTGAGGGGCGGACGGGACACAGATGCCCGAGCCCTGCCCCACCACGGACCCTGTCCTGAGGGTCAGGCCTGGGCCTGGGCGGCCTCCTGTCTATTTCCAAGGAAGACGTCGGCTTGGATGTGTGCGGGCGTGTGCATGTATGTATGCGAGTGCGTGTGCAGGTGTGTGTGTTACAGTGTTTGCCCTCTGGGATTTCCTTTTCCTCGATCCTTCCCTCTCTCCTCTAATAATTAACTGATTAATTAAAAATAGTTTTGTCTCAAGACCCCACTGAGGAATCTCCAATGGCCAAAGCTGCAAAAATTCGAGCGACAAAATGAACGCGGTCCCATCGGATCGCAGCCCACCGTGCTAAACAGCACCGCGGCCCCACGTGAGCACGTGGCTGCGTCTGAGTCGGTGAGGGAGAGGCAGTGGCTCTGCCCTGCCAGACCCCAGGCGATTGCGGGGACCCTCCTTGTGAGGGCAGGGGGGCCAAGCTCCCCTCCCGTAATGGGGGCCGCGGTGTGGACGGGGACGTGAGAGGAACCCAAGGGAGGACCTCGGGCAGGAGATGGAGGGCAGCGCCAGCCGCGAGCCACAGCCCGGTCTAACCGGAGGAAAACGCCAAACCCAACCCAGGGTGTCCTCCAAATACCCGCCGGCCCCCCCAGCTGCCCTGGTCCTCAGGGACAAGGAGTTTTGTCCACTGCCCAGTGGGTCAGCGCCTGGGGAGAGGCGCTGCCTCGGGGCTGGTCCCCGCCCTGCATGCGCCGGCACTGGCTCCCTCCAGCACCCACTCACCTGCCAGGACACGCCCAGCGATGCCCCTGTCCCGTGCACCTGCCCGGCCACACACCCCCCATTGGGGCCTGTTCCGTCTCCCACACACCATGGAACTGTTTACCCCCCAGGGCTCCACATGCTGGCTTGCTCTTGCTGCCTCGGTTTACCAGGGTGGGGTGGGACTTGCTTCCCCTGGGCCCGGAGGTGGCAGCCTCGACCCTCCCTAGAACAACCCTGAGGGAGGCCCAAGAGATGTCCCCCCACCCCTCCCACAGCCCACCCAGGGGGCCAGCCAGCCCCTCACCCCTTGCACACCTGGCGCTCATGACACAGGCACCTTCTGTCTGCGCCCACCTGGAGAGGGCCCCAGAGCCCCAGGAGGCCTGTCAGGGCCCCCCGGGACCTGCCCTTGTCTCCTGGCCCATCTCTGCCTGCATCCTGGTCGGAATTGTCCCCCAGAGCCCAGATGCATCCAGAGCAGCCTTCATGGCCTCCCCTGAGCCCGGGGAGGAGGGTGGCTCCCCCTTCCTGATCACTCCATGCCTGGGTCAGCTGGGGGACCCCGAGGGGACCCTGAACCCCCCAGGTTCAGCAGCCCCACTGCCCCTCAAAGTGCCCACCTTGGCCCAACCTCTGGGCAGCGGAGCTCTGCTCAGGCCGGGCTCCTGGGCTCTGGGTACCTATCCCTCCCTGCCCCCCGTGGGAGCCCAGGCCCTGCCCTCGGTGGGGCGAATGGGCCAGGCCCTGCACCTGCCCTGCACAGACAGCGGCCTGCAGGGGAGCTCGGGCACATGCGCCCGCCTCACAGACACCAGGGACAAACTGTGCGGGGCGCGTCTCCACCACATCAGCACCAGGGCCCTGGCACCACGGAGCTTCTGTCCTGCCTGGGCCTCTGGGCTGAGACGCAGCCCTCAGCAGAGGTGTAGGGCAGAGAGAGGCCCAGGCGCCCAGGTGTCTGAGCCGATGTCTGCAAGTGACCCCTGCTGGGGCTGCGGCTCCCCAGACCTCCTCGGGGCTTCCCTGCGGGGCCCTGGGGAGGTCCCAGGCCTGGTCCTGCTGGCCGGCGGGGTGTGGACCGGACCCTCCTGCCCCAAGGTCCACAGCCCCCTGCGCACCCGTCGGGGCAGACACTTCCAGCCCTCCTGGTGGCCGGTGTGTTTAACTGAACCTCGACAAAGAGAGTTCTCAGGGCCTTGAAGCTGCCGCTGTCCACGTCGGCCTCGGACCTGCTGTGCGTCTCTGTGGGGACCTGGGAAGCCGGCTCCGGTGGCTGCTGGTCCCATTCAGGCCAGACCCCAAGGCACGGGGCTCAGGGCCAGGCCCAGCATCAGGTCCCCACCCCGGGACAGGTGCAGAGACACGGGAGGGTCGCAGGTCACAGAGGATCTTTAAGCAGTTTCAGCGGACAGGGTGGGAGGCTTTAGGAGACTGCTATGAACTGAGTCGCATCCCCCCAAAATTCACAGGTTGAAGCCACAACCCCCAGTGTGACGGGGTTAGGAGGTGGCCTTTGGGAGGCAATTAGGGTCAGCTGAGGTCATGTGGATGGGGCCCTGGTCCAAGGGGACTGGTGACTTGTAAGCAGAGGCACCAGAGAGCCGGTGACGCTCCCTCGCTGCTCGCGTGCACTCGGGGAGGCCAGGTGGGGACACAGGTGGCCGTCTGTAGGCTGGGACCCAGGCCCGCCCCAAGCACGGAATCAGCCGGCACCTTCACCTGGGATTTCCAGCCCCGAGAACTGTGGGAAATACACGTCTGCCGCCGACGCCGCCGGCTGAGGTGTTCTGCCGGGGCAGCCCCCAGCACTCACCCGTCCGTCCGTCCTTCCTTCCTCTCGTTAGTTTACCGCGGGCTGGCTCTGGGGCGACAAGCCCAGGGCTGAGCGACGGTGGTCAGGGACAGAGGGCGAGAGTCGAGGGCAGAGGCCCGGAGAGCCCGAGCCAGAGTCCCGGGTCGCAGAGCCAGAGCTTCCGGGTGAAGGAGGCGGGTCCCGCCGCGGCGTCTTCCGTCTGCCCCCGCCTCCCCCAACGGGACCTGCAGCCATTACTGTGTCTTTTGCGAAGTGAAGTCTTTGGTGTGGCGAAAGCCTCTGGTCCTTCACGCACCTGCGCAGAGACCACCGAAGCCAGGTGCTTTCCGGCGAGGCCAGCAACTCACCCTCCCTGCCCTACCTCTGGGGTCGGTCAACTCCGCGTCGCAATCCAGGCCACGGGGACCGCGTCAGCTTCCCCTTCCATGGGACATCACGCTGGCCCGTTACACGGATGCTGTCGTGCTGGGGGGACGGGGAGCAGAGCTGGCAGCCCCCCACCGACAGCCTGGAACAGTGTGTGCGGCGGCCGGGCCTGCAGCCGGGAGGAGCCCACCACGGCCCGGCGGTCTGAGGCACGTCCTGACCTACATCTGGTCCTCCCTACTGCCGAAGAAGCGCAGAGCCTAGCAGGCCACTTTGGGCCTTGGAGGTGGCTCGTATGTGATATTCTGTCCCGTGTATCAAGTGGCCTGACACACAGTCAGTTTTGTGTGAGGCCCAGAGCGGGAAAGGCTCTGTGATGGGAACAGGCTGCCACGCGAGCTCGGTGCCATCCAGCCGCGTCGCCCGCGGATCCCGCGGTGTTTGAGGGTCTGTGGCCGACGAGGACGCTGTCTGGAGCCGGAGGCAGGCTCCTGGGATTGAGTCACAGCCCAGGACCTTAGGGTTTGGGAGCAAAGCTCTGCCATCCTGTGGATAACTCTGCCTTTGAGAAACGGATCTGGCTGGTTCCAGGCCTCAGCGGAGGCTGAGCGCACGGCCTGGGCTGTGCACCGTGGGTGGCGTGTTGTCAGAGCCCCCGAGC